CGCGAACTTTTCGTCGAGCAAGAGATAAGGTCCGAAAGGGATGTAGATGTAATTGGTCAATTTCCATGTGTTCTCAAGTCATTTTCGATACTAATTTGCTAATCATCGATACGGTTACACGGAACCAATTAAAACTATAGAGCTACATAGCGAGAGATCTTGACCCTGTGCCATCTCGTTAGACATTGTCTATAGCCAATGGTGTTCTTTATTGATGATCTCTGAGACATAGGGGCAAGAAAGGTCCTTCGCTGCGTCATTCGTTTATAATCTTGACTAACTACGTGTAACCATATTGAGGAATACTAAGTCAGCATCGAAAATTAGATTAGAGACAAGAACTGACCAATCAGACATCCATTTCTCAGCTGCGCCATCGAGTCTTTATTTATCCTTGATGAATCTAACTTTATTTATCTTTGATGAAAAATGAGGAATCGCGAGATTAAATCTGTTACATAAGAAAGAGCAAGACAGTCGAGAAAAACTGATCTAGTTCTTTTTCTCAGCGATATCCTCCTGCAGTGCTACCAACGCGAGAAAAAGTAAAAGATTGAATTTATCGTTGTGGTCTTCGTATCAGGAAGAATCAATAACGCGTCTTATCTGCCGGTTCGATCGGCCGGGCCCTAAGAGTGTAACCAGTACACTCGATTGTTATATAATTCACGTTTCAAGCTTTAAGGATAAGCGCGCTAAAGCAACTCTATCCTCGCGAAACGTCGAGGAACACCGTTCGCTAAGTTTCTGCGTTCACCTTAACGGCGACGGCCTTAAATTCGATGGCTGGCAGTAATCCAGCCATTCCGGTTATCAATACAAACGAGTAATGTCCCTTTAATTGCGTCGCTCCGGTTATCTAACTGGCGAATCGGTGTTCCCTTTGTTAATGGCCGCTAGGCTGCGAATGTTTATGTGGATTCGTTCGAAAAAATTTGCCGGAGGTCTTTTTAACGCTAGAACTACCGCATGGATCAACATCACTCATTTTGAATTTCTTTTTTTTTGCAATTATTGAGAATACATGGATGCTTTTTTAAGGAAATCATTAAATAAATTGATGTAGGTATATCCAAACTG